CTAAAAGATGTCTGTGACATTCCATGCGTGAGTATACTTGTCAATGATGAAATAATGAAACTAAGTAACATTTTCTCCTATACTCGGTTTATGTATAACAATAAAATTACTTTCTTCCATATATAAAATAGACAAACTATTTCTATCTATCAATCTATGTACAATTAGGGTGTGATTGGTTGGAGTGATAAGGAGGGATATCACACACTTTCTTAAGCATTAACAGCTTTTATGTTGTTTGGTTGAACATGGCATGGCCCTGAAAAATGGCATGGCCCGGTCAAATTATCCTTCAATTTGTTTATAACACATCCGGCCAAATTGGTGGGATACAGTATATGAAATCACTCAACAATTAACTTCCTAAAATGTCCCGAAATTTTTTTCGCAAAATCCCCAATTGCTTCCTTCTCTTTTTTTTCCTCTTCTTCTTTCCAAATCCTAAACCAACACCCCAACTTCCTCTCCCAAAATCCTCCCCATTTCTTCTTCTTCTTTTCCCCAATTTCCATCCTTAAATTCTCACGGCCAGAAAATTCCCAAATTTCTCAGCAATAGAAACAGATTTCATGAAGCCTTGTTCTGCGAATCCGGACTGAGGTCTGCTCTGAAGGTTAAGTTCTTCGGCGATCCTCCAAGCAGTGGGCCCGCTGCAGTGCTGGTAGCCGTGGATTTCTAAATTCAATCTGTGATTTCATAGACTTAGTAACGGAGACGGTGGACGCCACAGGCTAAGATGGCGGGCTCGCCGCGACTTTGGTGGCCGTGGATCTGCCTTATCCACGAGGAGAGAAGGTAGACCAAACCCCCAACTATTTAGACTGGGGCTAGGTTTAGCAGATGGACGCTATTAACACTTTGACTACAGGAATAGTCTTGGCGGCGGAGATGTGAAGTGCACAAAAATGATGCACCTTGTGTATGTGAGGGCATTTGAGGAAGAAAGATGAAAAATTAGATGTATGAATATCTAACCAAACATGTTAATAAATTGGGCGGACAGATGTAATAATTGACATGGGAATTAATCAAGCCCATAACATCATTGTAACCAATCACACCCTTAAAATATATGTTTAAGTATGTGAATCGATTTTACTAGTTCTAAAATAACACGTGAACAAAAAATAAAATAAATATTCATAGATTCAAATATAACTAAATGAACAAAAATAACATATAAGTATGTGTTTATTTGTTTCCATATATACTCCATTTGTTATAAATAATTCGAAAATAACAAATCAACTAAAAACATCTTATAAAATCAATAAGAAAATGTATATTAGATGTTTTTATTTAGTTCAAAATAACATAAGATGATTTCATGGTATATATATGTCTCACATATATATGAAAATTTTGATTGAAAGAATGAACAGACAAGTGTAAGCATGTAACTAATCAATATTATGCATGTGTTATGAAAAAGAAAAATAAACTGGTGTTCTCAGTAACATGATGTTTACTAATATAATGTTTTGAAAAAACATAAAATATTCGTGATGCATACATTTTTAAATAAAAAAAAGTAAGTCTGATAAATTAATAATTTAGTAAACAACATAAAAAAAATTGAAACTTTTATAAATATTAAAATAAATGGAAACTTTTGTAAACATCAACTAGTGCGTGGCCCGTGCGATGCACGGAAAAATAATATTTTGATTGTATTATAAATTAAATAAATAAATAACATTAATCATGATTTACCCATTATTTTTAAATTAAACCGGGTTGGACACAGTCCGACCGGATGGACCGAGAACCGATTTATAACCAGTCTATTGCGCTTGAATAAAATATTTTCTATCGAATTCGTCAACATCAGTATGTTGGACTGATAGGATCGATACGATTTTCTAAACAAATTTTGTTACATTAAAAATTATTTTAAATAAAATTACATATTTAAATAAAATAGAGATTTATAAATTGTTTATCAATTAATTTAAAAATTTGAATTTATAAATTGTTTAGATATTTAAGTAACACTTTTTATTTAAATTTATTACAAAAAGTATTATATATATATATATATATTAAAGTATTATGTATTAAAATCTGAACAACCACAAACGATTTAATAAAATAACTTGATCGTTTCGTTGACGTTCTGGTTCTGAAAACCTTATATTTACCGTACATTAATAAAAATGATAATAAAATAATTATTTTGTTCACATAAATAATAATAAAATGATATATAAATATTCATAAATCATTAATCATGTTGTCGTAAAAGTTGTTAATATGATTATTTGAAGTTTGGACTACATAATAAAGTATTTTCAATATTAAAATTTATATTTAGGTTCAATAATCGATTTGGTCTGGTCAAACTGATACATAACTTAGTTACCTGGGACCAACCAAGTTATGTCAAGTTTTTTGACTATTTTAAATATCACCTAAAAGTAATTCACAACGTGGGCAGTACCCTAATTCAATCACCCGATTGATCCAAAGTAATTTCATTATTTTCTTTAAACATAATATTTAATTTTATGAAATAAAAAAAATTTATGATTCATATGTCTACACCAAATGATAGTATATTAAGATTATAAATTATATATATAAAGATGAATTATTTATTTTTATTTTATGCATATTAATAAAAAATAAACATAGTAATTTAAAAAAAATCAAGATTAATTGATTGGGTTTATATATATATATATATATATATTTAAAATAATTTTATTTTATACATAGTAATTTAACATGATTGAATTTCTGGATTAATATATATATTTAAAATAATTTTATTATTAAAAGTCAAAAAGAAAAGATGCCATAAAGATTACAACTTTGAAAAGTTTGTAACCATTAATTTAGGAACCATCCGATTTTAAATGATTTATAATTTTTGAAACAAGATACGTCATCTAAAACCCATTAATTTAGGAACCATCCAATTTTTTGATAATGAATTAAAATTAAAATGTAAAATAAAAAAAATTGCTAAAAATAGTATATAATAAATGTGGGTTGACTTTTTCTTACTACTATTTATGGTAAATGTTAATTCTTATTATATATATATAGATCAACACAATCAGTTAATAAATTCGTTTTATTTTATAGCACAAAACACATTTATCAATTTGAGTGTAATAATTAATTCATTCACATGTTTGATAAGTTTTCCAACATCATAACACATTTAACCATTTTAATGTAATTTTTATAAATTTATAACTATTAATTATTACCTTAATATTTTGAAATTAAATTATAATTAAGTACTTATTTTTTTAATATCACAACTTTTTTATAACTGCCCCATTNAAAGAGTAAAGATACTTTAAGATGATGCTTTAATATAAAGGATGACCAAAATTTATGTGTATGTTGAATAATTGTTGAGTTTAAATTGATATTATTTGCAAAATAATAAGATCGTATCATTATGTAAAATAATGTCTTGTATTTAAAAATTAGGTGAATTTTCATATGTTAGAGATTCATTAGATTTTGTAATGGATGTAATGGATAATTAATTAATACAGTAAATCGTTGTCAGAAAAACATCTTCACCGCTGGTAGAAAACAAAAATGGAAGGCAAATTTATAACAATCACTCCATTTTTTCCCCAGCATTTCCCTACTCTGCAACTATCCACCGCCATTAAAAAATCCACCCAAGAAAACGAAATCTCAACAGAACATGAAGAAAAAGAAATCGAAAACCCTAACGCCCCAGCCCCATTGATCCATCACCACCCCCAAAAATCGCCCTGTAAATCCCTCGCGTCTCGATTTGATTTATCATTATTATTATTATTATTATTATTATTATTATTATTATTTGGTTCTTTGTTTTAACTTTAATATTAATCTCATAAGTTCCGCCATGTTCGGTCGGCTGCTGAGCCCCCGCCGGGCCCGCCAGCTCCAGCGACTCGTCCGCAACGGCAAGCTAACCCTCCTCTGCCTCTTCCTCACCGTCCTCATGCTGCGCGGAAACCTCGGCGCCGGCAAATTCGGCACGCCGGAGAAGGATCTCGACGAGATCCGCGAGACCTTCTCCTACATCCGCCGCCGCGCCGAGCCGCGCCGTGTCCTGGAGGAGGCATCGATCTCCTACCGTAAGCTGTCCGACGGCGGCGCCACCGCCTCCTCCTCCGGCAGCAGAAGCTACGCCGACTTCGATCTGTCCAAGATCCTGAAGGACGAGGACGACGGCGTCGAGGAATTCAAGCGCGACCCCTCCCAGCCCTACGCGCTCGGCCCAAAAATTTCCGGTTGGGACCTGCAGAGAGGAAATTGGCTGAAGAAGAACCCTAATTTCCCAAATTTCGTCTCCTCCAACAAGCCCAGGGTCCTACTGGTCACCGGATCTTCACCCAAGCCGTGCGAGAACCCTGTCGGAGACCATTACCTCTTGAAATCGATCAAGAACAAGATCGATTACTGCAGACTCCACAGTATCGAGATTTTCTACAACATGGCCCTGCTTGATGCCGAGATGGCAGGCTTCTGGGCCAAGCTTCCATTGATCCGTAAGCTCCTTCTTTCCCATCCAGAGGTCGAGTTCTTGTGGTGGATGGACAGTGATGCCATGTTCACCGACATGGCTTTCGAGCTGCCATGGGAAAGGTATAAGGATCACAATCTCGTTATGCACGGCTGGAATGAAATGGTTTACGATCAGAAAAATTGGATCGGATTAAACACAGGTAGCTTCTTGTTGAGAAATTGTCAGTGGTCATTGGACTTATTAGATACATTGGCTCCAATGGGCCCGAAAGGCAAGATTCGAGAAGAAGCCGGAAAGCTCCTGACGAGTGAGCTTAAAGATCGGCCAGTTTTCGAGGCTGATGACCAGTCGGCCATGGTTTACATACTGGCGACTCAGAGGGAAAAGTGGGAGAGTAAGGTTTATTTGGAGAGTGCTTATTATTTGCACGGGTATTGGGGGATTTTGGTCGATAAGTATGAGGAGATGATTGAGAATTATCACCCGGGCTTCGGGGACCATAGGTGGCCTTTGGTAACCCATTTTGTGGGTTGCAAGCCGTGTTTGAAGTTCGGGGATTATTCGGTCGAGAGGTGCTTGAGACAGATGGACCGAGCTTTTAACTTTGGGGATGATCAGATTTTGCAGATGTATGGGTTTGCTCATAACTCGCTCGCGAGCCGGAAAGTGAGGAGGATAAGGAATGAGACTAGCGATCCGCTTGAAGTGAGGGACGAGCTTGGTTTGCTCCACCCGCCGTTTAAAGTGATGAAGGCGTGATAATAGTAAAATATAATAAATAACCTTCTTCGCATTTAGATTATATTTCGTTCTTTGTATTTACTTTTGGGGGGATTGATATATTTTGTTGATAGCTTGTAATATGATGCTATTTATTGCATTGCAGTCTTGGAGTCGTGGTTAGTACTTACTAATATTCATTTATTTATTATGGTTTTGTGGTCATTTGAGAAATATTATGCAAGTTGAGAGGTAGTCTATTTGTTTCGACTTGTATGATGATGATTAGTGAAAGTTCTCTGTAGTGTTATACACCTTCAGATTCGTGTTTGATGTTTACATTAAATCGTGTTTGGTCGTTTTATCATACTCGTGTATGTTCAGTGAGGACCGGACTCGATCTATTTCTTGAGGTTTAGTTCTCTGTGATCATTTTTTCATCGTGCAGTAAATGGGGCAATGCATGCTCGTTTAATGCGTAGTTTTTTTTCTGTGCTTGGGCAAGCCTTCATCCTGTAAACTATTTGCTTGCATGAAATTGTATGAAATGTGAAGTTGAAGCAACTGAGTAACGAATAGTTCATCGTCAACTAGTTCGTACCATGATAGTTCTTGGATGTTTGGTTGTTATTGACTGTAAATCTTGTTATATTGAAATGATCTACAAAAGTTGGGTGTTCTGTATACTTACTTATTTTTGCTTGGCTCAGGTTTCATTATTTGTATCCAAGTCCCTTGGATTACAAAATTGATGTGTGCAGTACAGAGCATTAGACTAAAGAGATCCATGCATATTTCGTTTAGGTGCCATAATTTCGTAACCTTCTTGAAATTTTGACTACGCATGGCAATGGAGAATTTATAGTAGTTGATTAGTTTGTTGTGTGGGGGTTAAAAAGTGCATTTTCCTAGAAGAGAACAAGATGGCTTAAAGAAGAATGAATGTGAAAAGTTGTGTGAGTTTGTTTGGAGAAAAATTTTAATAAGATGAGGTGTAAATGCAGGATTGTTATTTCAAGGATGATTGAATTTGGTTTAACAATATGATCCTAGTGTGTATTATGTCAATATCACAATTTTCCTTCCATTTTTCTTATTATAAATAATTGGAGGGATTATTGAACTATAAATACCTAAACTTTATGAAATTAATGTGATTGAAAAAAAATAAAAAATAAAACACAAGGCTCATAATTCAAATAGGTAGGTGGTTGTTAGACACGCCTAACGTTTAGACAATTATACTTTTCTAATGCATTCTTTTTTTTTTTCTCTACGGCAATGTCTACAAAACAACATAAATAAAAATATTAGATTTTATAGTATAAGCATGTATTTTATTAAATAAATATGCATAGTAAATTGATATGTGAGTATTTTTATTAAATTGATATAATAATCAAAGTCTACAAAAACAACATAAATAAAAATATTAGATTTTATAGTATATATGCATTTTATTAAAAAAGTATTGTTGCGCAAATTGTACCCCGACCAGGTTGAGCCGCGCCTAGCTGGTTTGAACTGCCTAGATGCCTCCGACGATCTGCAAAACGCTGGGAGGGGTCCCGGCGAAAAACACCCCGACACTCAAGTCAGCCCAACGTTCAGCAAAAGTATGTTGAGAAAGTAAATTCGCGCGTGTATGTGTATTGTGTAAAAAGAATGATAATGTTCCCCTTTTATAGTTAGGATTGCGTACTGATTTTAGGATTCCTGGTGAGACAAGAGTTCTCGTCATGCCTCCCTTCTTAACAACTCAGATCTTGTCATATCTGGAGTCCTTGAAGGTATAAGTTCCCTCGCAAGAAAGGACTCACTTTTCTTGCTTAGCACGACTCTCTCCTTTTGCCGCTTTCATAACTAAAGCCGAGCTGGAAAAGAGCTGCCTGATTAGGATTGTCACGCAGCCTACCTGCCTTGGTGGCCAACCCCAGCCTGCAACCAACTATAGGCAGGCTGCCGAGGTGCTCACGTTGAGCTGCTGAGGTGCTCGTGCGACCAAGCATTCAAGCTGCTGGCTGGGACCGAGCTTTCTTCATTCAAGATAATTAACCTCGCCATATCATATAACGTTGCAAACCTCCTCAGGACTTGATTATGGGATTTCCCCCACATCCTCGTCTCCTAGACCGAAACGTTCCCGCCGAGGTCATCTTCCTCAAGCTCGCACCGAGCTCCCTCACCTCGCGGGCGGCTGTTCCGAGCACCGGCGGGCGACTGTGCCGAGCACCGGCGAATGCCCATGCCGAGCTCCTCCACTCCACGTACACACCTCGAGCGACCGTGCCGAGCTACGGCTGAGCTCGGCCCATGCTTGGTCCTCCATGAACTCCTATTTGTGGTTGTATCAAGTATACATATTAAATTTATATGCAAGTATTTTTATTAAATAGGCATAATATATCGATTGGTCTAAAGATACTCTACAAAACAAAATAAATAAAAATATTATATTTCATGTTATGAATATGTATTTTTATTAAATAAAACTACAATCCGACGATCAACGAGACAATTGTAAATTAAAGTGTGGATTCTAATCTATACTTATATTAAAAGGAGTCATATTTACCAAATTAAGTAGCCAGAAAAGTCAACAGCATTTATTGCATTACTATTTCCGTATTATACAATTTATACTTCTATTTATTTAATTGATTTATTTATTTGTTTTATTTTAAAAAGATAAGTATAATAAAAAAAATTTAATAATAAAAAAATTAAATACCAAATAAAAATGTACACTTTGACTTATTTGATTATATTTGGTATTTGATTATACCAAATATATTCCTATTTAGTATATACATTAAATACTTACTAAAGTATTTATTTGTTTTATTTGTCAAAGTTAAGTATAGATTTGTTTATATTATCAAATCATAAAAAAATATTAAATCCATATTTTAAAAAAAAAAATCATATAATTTTATAACAATTCTACTACACTATTTAACAATATTCCTTTTTTATTATATAATAAAATAATAATTAAATATTATATGGTGAACAACAATAAGTAAAACTGTTACTTTCTCTTATATCAAGGGATAAATTTATATGCTAAAATTAAATTTTTATTAGTATAAATGTTTTAGTGAGATAATATATTAAGTATTTTACAAGCTAGCCCTAACATGCTCATATTTAATGTTTTAAAAGATGTAGAAAAAAACTTATAATAACTCTATTGTTTTTTAGACTTAAACGTTGATTAAAAGAGGTAAAAATTCCTAATTTTTTAGACTTAAACGTTGATTAACACCATAGATTGAGAGTTTATATTTAGTAAAATTCCTAATTGTAATAAAAAAATTAATTTTTGCTATATTTTAGAATATCTTTAAATTCATTATAAAAAAAAAAGAAAAAAAAAACTACAATGAAAAAGGCAAGTCAGCTATATATCGATTTGTTGTACTCCTCAAATCACATTCACAATTTGGCTACAAGGAAAGGAAACTCATTGATTAAAATATTATTTTATCAGTAATCTTAATGTACAAGAGACTTTAAGACTCCACTTGAATATTATAAAATTTTCATTGAACATTGTACAATTTTCTTGATTATTATAAACTTTTTATTGAATATTGCATCTTATAATATAATATTCTCCAAATAAATATATCTCGTGCTTCGCACGGGTCACGTACTATATATATCCCGTACATTTTTCTTTATTCATGTATATAATTATAAGCCTGGATAAATAACCTTAAAATTGTGCACCCCGTGCATCGCACGGGCTCTGTACTAGTGTGGAATCACAGCGTAGGCTCTCATTAAATATCTTCCACTAATCCGGTCCCTAAACAATGTGAGGGCCAGCTCTAGGTGTAAGTCTGCTCTGTCCAGAATCTATACTTATATTAAAGGAGGTACTATTTACCAAATTAAGTAGCTAGAAAAGTCAACAACATTTATTGTATTACTATTTCCGTATTATATTATATAAAAGGATATTCTATTTACTACATTTATTATCCAGAAAGTTAACTGCATTAAATGTCATTACTATTTTGGTATTATAATATCTTATTTATTTAATTGATGTATTTATTTATTTTATTTTAAAAAGGTAAGTATAATAAAATTAAATACCAAATAAAAATGTATACTTTGACTTATTTGATTATATTTGGTATTTGATTATACCAAATATATTCCTATTTATATACATTAAATACTTACTAAAGTATTTATTTGTTCTATTTGTCAAAGTTAAGTATAGATTTGTTTATATTATCAAATCATAAAAAATATTAAATCCATATTGTAAAAAAAAAAATTCATATAATTTTATAACAATTCTACTACACTATTTAACAATATTCCTTTTTTATTATATAATTAACTAATAATTATATATTATATGGTGAACAACAATAAGTAAATCTGTTACTTTCTCTTATATCAAGAGATAAATTTATATGCTAAAATTAAATTTTTATAAGTATAAATGTTTTAGTGAGATAATATATTAATTATTTTACAAGCTAGCCCTAACATGCTCATATTTAATGTTTTAAAAGATGTAGAAAAAAAATTTATAATAACTCTATTGTTTTTTAGACTTAAACGTTGATTAAAAGAGGTAAAAATTCCTAATATTTCATACTTAAACGTTGATTAACACCATAGCTTGAGAGTTTATATTTAGCAAAATTCCTAATTGTAATAAAAAAATTAATTTTTGCTATATCTTAGAATATCTTTAAATTCATTATAAAAAAAAAAGAAAAAAAAACTACAATGAAAAAAACAAGTCAGCTATATATCGATTTGTTGTACTTCTCAAATCACATTCACAATTTGGCTACAAGAAAATGAAACTCATTGATTAAAATATTATTTTGTCAGTAGTCTTAATGTACAAGAGACTTTAAAACTCCACTTGAATATTATAAAATTTTTATTGAACATCGTACAATTTCTTGCGTATTATAAACTTTTATTGAATATTGCATCTTATAATATAATATTTTTCAAATAAATATATCTCGCGAGTCACGTACTATATATATTCCGTACATTTTTATTTATTTATGTATATAATTATAAGTATGGATAAACAACCTTAAAATTGTGCACTCCGTCCATCGCACGGGCTCTGTACTAGTTCTAATTCTTATGGAGAATGAATAAAAATGGAAAATTCTTGAGAAGTCTTTTGTTTGTTTTTTGGGAAGGATAGACTTGAGAAGTCTCTCAACCCAGCAGCTCTCTTCATTTTCCCAATTAATACCAATACCCTAAATCCAACATGGAAGAACAAAGATTCCAGCTCTGTCACTAAAAGGGATAGATTTTGAATGAAGCGACTCACATCTCTGTTAATGTTATCTCTTGCCCTTCACTTATGGGGGCTCTGAGCGGCAACGATCGGAACCCAGATCACAGTTGCCCCGCAGTCCGATTACAAATTTCATTTCCTGACCCTAAACCGAGGTTTCGCAGAGAAATTCACGCTCCGGTTAGCCATCTAAGGTTCGGGTTATTTTCCGGCACAGGTAGCGGGTTATTTTCCGGCACAGGTAGAGTCGAGGGCGTTGCATCCCCTGCAAAAATGGGCAACTGTTTTGGGACTCGATTTTCGTTCAGTAATTTGAGTAATGGCGCCACAAAATGTTTCGGGCTTTTTGAGAAAGGCGAGGAGAAGGTTGGGTTTGAGAATGCGGACAGGGAGAACGTAGTTGATGTGTCGGATGATTCAAGTGTCGAGGAGGTTGAGGTTTATGATTCGACGAAAACGAGAAATGATAGGCCGAGTCAATTGGACTTGGATATGGAGTACTATGAGAAGTGCCTCCAGGGGTTATGGTTATCTCGACCTCAGAAGAAAGATGGACAAGTTAGAAAGGTGATTTTTTTTTTTTTTTNTTTTAACCTCATGTTGCTTTTTGTTAATTGAGAAAGTGAATTGTCTGCTTGGACTTCGTTTTTATGTTGTTGGGTATGTATTTGTGTAAGAATGTAAATATTTGAATGTTGTGGTTTGGTTCATAAGCAGGATCGGTTTGACGAATGTTTTGTGCCTCTTACGGATGAGGAAGAAGCTTTGGTTGCTTCTGCATTGTCGAATTCTAATCGGTATAGTTTATTCTATAACTGGAAATTTTACTATATTATGGATTTCTACATTCTCATCTGTGTATGTTGTTATTACGCTGACTGATGTAGGGAAAAGGTTGTGGTGAGCCATGAGAATTCTAATATTGATATCTCAGGAAAGAAATTGCAGTGTTTGAGGCCACATAAATGGCTTAATGATGAGGTTCAGTTCTGTCTCCCTTATGTGTCTATTTTTTTTTTCTTTTTTCTTTTTTCGGAATGAAGTGCAGAAAACCTTGTGAATTATGGCATGATTCTGTGCCTATTTTATACTTTGCAGGTCATTAATTTGTATCTCTATTTGTTGAAAGAAAGGGAAGAAAGAGAGCCTCAGAAGTTTTTGAAATGTCATTTCTTTAATACTTTCTTCTATAAGAAGGTATCTTCTCCCTAAATACTCATTTTCAGCATGGAAAATTGCAATGTGTAATTGATAGCATATGTTGCAGATTGAAATATTTGTCACGCATAATTCATAATCAATCATATCATAATTTAACAATTTGCAATTATAAATCCTTTGTTTTTATTTGTTCTTTCTAAGCTGATTAGTGGAATAGATGGCTACAATTTCCAAGCTGTTAGAAGATGGACCACACAGAGGAAGCTCGGATATCACCTTTTAGATTGTGAGAAAGTAAACTCTTGGGCATTTAACCTTTTAAGCTCACATGCTAGTCTATCGTTTTACCTCTCTCCAGAATCTATCTAATACATATAATTTTATTGTAGATTTTTGTGCCTATCCATCAAGTAGGGCATTGGTGTTTGGCCATCATCAGTAAGAAGGATAAAAAGTTTGAGTATCTCGATTCGCTCAAAGGTTTTGATAGCCAAGTGATGAGTGCACTAGTATGCTTGAATCCTGTGCTTAGTAAACTTTGTACTCAGTCGTCAGAATTATTTGTTTGACTCGTTTATGTGATCTTACAAATGCAGTCTAGGTACTATGTTGATGAGGTGAAGGACAAGACTGGAAACGATATTGATGTCAGTTCATGGGAACAAGTATGTGTCACACACCTTCCAGAGCAAGAAAATGGGTAAATTTCATAAGTATTATATTGCTATTGTCTTCCTGAAATATTGACATTCTTGAGGTGTTAAAATTATTGCGAAAAAATTGAATCTAGTTAAACCTCCTGGTTTGGCTTCATATAAAAGGAAAAAGAAAAAAGTCCAGATTTCGGTTATACAATGTACATTAGTAGTTACTAATTTAATATGTAATACTGCTTTGTGATTGTGGGACGGCATTCTTATTACATGACTCGGGATTTAAGCACTACCTTATTTTCTCATTTTATGTTTCATGATACAACGCTTCTAGAATGTGTGTGTATGACTATCTTATATTCCATAGTTTTACTTTTGATGTTGATCCCCCAAATGTTACGTTTGCATGAGTGTTTTTCAGTTTGTTCAGTTCCAAACTTTAAGCTAGACTGCTAGAATCATTTCATTTCTCGAAATTAAACAATGCTGGTGGTATATGTTGATTTCCTCTGTTTTGACCTTTTCAAACAGGTTCGACTGTGGAATGTTCATGATCAAGTATATGGATTTCTATAGTCGGGATATTGGACTATGTTTTAACCAGGTAAACTTTGAATATATGTGCATCTATCGTTATATATATAAAAAATAGATCTCATTTACACTTGTTTGCTCCAACCAAACTCTCAATTGGCTTTTGCTTTCCCTTCATCCGAGCCCGGTGGTTTTCTGGCAACCTATGGCTCTTAAAACTGACCATCTGAGAGTTAAAGTATTTCTTTTCATGTTCATTTTTTTTTCCTTTTCTCAACTTTAGTAGTTCTTCGACCCATTGTCTTCGGTATTGGATGTCGCTGGAGCTTCCAGCCAGACTGCTTCTCTTATATTTTCACCCTTTTTTTTTTCGGGAGAACCCAAAAGGCCTTCTATTGAATACTAATTGTCTTTCTTTATTGTTAGAATAAAATCCTTTGTTTCTGAGTGATTTGCCCTCTTTTCTGTAAATAAAATTCTATGCTCGGGTGAGTGGGTGGGTAAAAAATAACTCAAAACTCTAGCTATTAACTGAAAAAACTACCCGATTTTTGTCATTAATGCGAGAAATTCAATTAATCCTCAAAACTTCAACGGCCCTTGATATCTATATCTCTAAGGAAAAATTATATAGCCCGACATTTATAAAGACATTTTAGTGGGCATTTATCATTTTGAAATGTATGTAAATATCTGTATCCCCGTGTAATGTAGTTATTCGGCTGTCTAACCATTGGACAACTATACATTGTCAACAAATTTACATACTTACATACTTTCATACTCATATTTCTTATTGATATTGGACAACTAACCATTGGACAACTATACATTTGTTAAGAAAGTATGATTGATTAATCATTAGGTAGCATAACAGCAGAATTTTTGTGATTTTGTATCTTTCAGGTAGAATTTTCATCTGTCCCGTTATTTTTAATTCCATCTTTGATCATCATAAGCATCTGTTTTTTTAATGCTTATTGATCATCATTTTTTTCTTCATCTTTTTTCAGAGTGACATGCCATATTTTAGGAGACGGACAGCTAAGGAGATCTTGAAGTTGAGAGCCGAGTGAAGCATTTTCAAGTTGAGTTGTTTTCTCCCATAACAAATGAACAATACCATCCAAGAACACAGATTGATTTTTCACAATGTAGTGAGGTTGATGTGAGTTAGCAGTTGGGGCATTATTTTGATATGATGAAAGTATAATCCCTTGTGAAACAAGGTGAAAGCACTGTATATTACACTTTACACCCTCTGTAATTTTTTGTACATGTACAGTGTACTGTAACATGGAGATGGAACTTGTGTAGGAATTAGTATCTGAGAATGAAATTCTGGGCTGCATAAATGAATAGAAATAAAATGAATATTTTAGCTGAGTTGGATTTAGAATAAAGATAAGTTGGATTTAGGATTTAGAAATAAAATAGAAATAAAATTTTAATTATTAGGTTAAGTTGAGTTGGAAAATAATACTTACCTGGTTAACATTCAGTGACCCGGCGCTAGATCACCGGTCCGAAATTCTTAAATAACTCACGAATCACAGAAAAATATGCGAAAATAAAATAAAAAGTGGAAATTATGTTACTAATGATAATGACGAACGAGTACTGGACTGTCATTCTGGTTTAGAAATTGGGCCTAAACTTAGGCCCAAAGAGCTGTGTTCGGATCAGCCACGTGTACTGTGACACAGTTAAAGTCCATTTTCCATTTTCCTTTTTTCATTTTTCCTATAACAATGAAAGCCCATAGTTTTGTTTCAGGTTCCCACGGTAACGTGTTGAAATTCTCCCTCAAAACAGCAAAAGCCACCAAAGACCGAACCCAACGTAAGAACTTACCTACAAGGAAAAGGAGTGCAGAAATTAGGCAGAAAGATTAAAAAATTACGGAAAATGGGAGAAGAGAAAGGCAAGCTTGAATCTCTCAGGGAATGGGTCGTGGAACACAAGCTTCGTACCGTCGGTAATGAAATGGGTTTTTTATTTTTGGGTTTCGATTTCGCTTTGTGCTGTCGATAATCGATAATGTTTCTTTTCCCGCAATCAAGATCGAATTTTTATTGAGATTCTTTATCAATTTTTGAATTTTAGGGGCGCTATGGGCAAGTGGGATCGTGGGCTCTCTTGCTTATAACTGGTCTCAACCCAATATGAAAACCAGTGTTAAGATTATTCATGCAAGGTATCGATTCTCTGCAGATGTTCTCAGTTCTAATGGAAATGGGAAAAAAATCGTATTTGTCGAAGGGGTTCTTGCCTCTAATTTTGTTCTCCCTATCAAAATGGGGATTCTGATCTTGCTGTGTGATTTCTTTTTTCTTTCTGGAAAGTATATATTTGGATTTGATGACGGTTTTCAGTTCTTCTTAAGCTAATTCTGTGCATCTGTTGGTCATTTACCGATAAATATTTGGAAAATCTGTTCTAATAATGCGTTTATATTCAAATCTGTGTGTGCTGAGGCTGGTTTGTTTATTTTTCTCTATCCCCCTCTCTTAGCTGCATTGTCTTACGCAAATCTCTATTTCCTTCACAATTTTCGTGACTTGGAAATTTTCATGTAAGATTTAGGTCTGTGTTTTTGAGATCATGGTATTGCCTTTGAGGTTTGTGGTTAGATGATTAGGGAGATATCTCAAAACTAAGTCGAAGGTTGAATAATTTCAACGAGGAAGTGGGCAAAAGACAAACTTTTGTTCAGGTGCCATAGTCCAAGCTGTCCTGACATGTGGATTTTAGGATCTTGAAGGTGTAAACAGTTTCATAACAGCCCAAAGTCTGGTCCAGACCTCATAAACTATGCGCGATCTCAGTTTCATTGTGGAATTTTTTTAAGAATTACATTGCTCTTAACAGGGTTTTCATGGTGAAATCAATAATTTACTCCTCTGAGTTAATTATGTTTTGGTGATTGATTTTTTGGGTTTGAGCTTCATATTTGTTTAGCCATGACAGTTGGTTGATTTCGGTTGGGATTGTGGTTGAGAAAATAGCATATCTTGGGATGGATGTTTTTACAAATATAATGTTGATAGGTTACTGTTGTACTGTGGTAATAGTCTGGTCTAAAGGCTCTATAGTTGAACATATTAATTCGTGGAGACATTGCGCTTGATTTGCTTAAAAGTAATTTACTGTGGCCCGAGTTTATGAACATATATCATTTTCTCGTGGAATTTGTTTCTTTATTCAATTACTGATTGCTTGTTAGTATTTGGGGTAAATAATTTATTAAAAACAACCTTTGGAGGAATTTTCCGAACAACAGGATGTTTTGTGAGGCCGATTTGTTTACGCTATCTCATTTTATAGAAGTTGAATCAAGAAGCTGTGCTCATAAAATACCTGCACTTATCTTAGGCTTGCATACTCTTTCACCTTGGCTGTATAGAATGCAAACCTGTCAATTTTTAGATTAATTTTGGAACTTAGCTTTAAATGTGACAAATTACCGTAAGCATACAATTTTCCGCAAAAAATACACTCTCATTGATATTTGTCTGCATTTTACAATTTTTACCTAGCCGGGGGGGTGTTGACATAATTTAATTCGCCAACATTGCTTTTGTAATTTTGGAACATATCTGAGTTAGTTGTTTTATTATTTTCCCTTCGTGATTATTTTCCCACGTGTATAATACTTGTGAAACTAATGCTCGAATATCAGGTTGCATGCTCAAGCACTTACACTAGCTGCCTTAGCTGGTGCTGCTGTTGTAGAGTATTATGACCACAAATCGGGAGCAAAAGCAGAGCGCGTTGCCAAATTCTTGGATCACAGGGACTAAACTTTGGCCTTCAGGCTAATAAAGAATGCGCGGAACTTATGACAAATAAAATCTTGCGGGTTTCAGAATGGTTTTTTGTTTCATTAGTATGATAGTACATAGCTATGGAGGCAGAGTAGTTTTGCTCGGCTTTAGTATGCGTGAATTTTATCCACTATTTTCCATATTTCGGTTGGGTAGTATTAAAGTTTCTGACTGGGAAGCTGAATTAATAATTGTTTCAGTTTTGTTACAAATTTATTCCATTTAGTCCTTACGTTCTTTGGTATGACAGATTTCGAGATCTTGTTAATGCTGGATTTGTGTGAGAATTAAACTGTTAATGCCAATCTCATATAACATGTTACCATTAAAGACCAGGTGCTTGTTTGGAAATACTTTCCATATGAATTTTTGAATGGCTATTTAATGCATTACTTTATGCTATTATTTAGAAAGAGCTCATGAACAGTTGGTTCTGAAAACCATCTTTCAACTTCTGCAAAAACCAATTTAAGCAATGAACTTTTTCTACAGTTATCTCCCAAACAAACACCAGATCTTTATGCTCTGTTTAGAAAATATGTTTGAAAACCGGTATGCTTGAATGACCTTTGAATCTCCACCCTACACGTATACAAGAATGAGCTCTTGCTTGCGCCTAGTTTCCAAATTTCAAAACTTCATTTCAAAATGTGTGCAATAAAAGGAAAATGGTTACATAAAACCTTTTTTTATTTTACTCTATTAATAATGCTAATTTACAATAAAATCTTCCTACACTAAATCATATTTTATGATGATTTTGTATTGAAATGACAAATTGTCTTAATTTGGTAGACAATAATGAAAAATTTTACTCATAAAAACATATTTCTTGTACACATCATCATTTATTTATGTGAGAGAATTAAATATTTTATGATGAATTTATTTGTAATGAGTGGCAGTTTGTCATAGTTTAGTAATTAACAACGATAAATATTATTTTATTACTGAGAAGTACTTTATTAATTTATGATTCCGTTAATTTTCTTGACTAAATTACATATTTTGTGAAGACTATATATGCAACACACTTCATTTGGTCACAATTTACTGTGTAACGATAATATTGTATTGTCAGTAAAAAAATACACTTTTATGATATCATTTAGTATTGTCAATATAGATCTTATTTAACATCACTAATTTATGTATTTAATAAAGATATATTTATATTTAAATTCACAAACACATATATAAATAAACCTGTATAATTTTATTAAGATATATTTATGTAATTTTAAATTTGTTTCTCTAATATATATAAAACATAGTTATTGGTTTATGTATATAATGCTTAGTAGTTTTATTATAAGTAAAGTATAATAGTTACCATAAATATTAACAAAGTAACATTAAATCACAATTATAGTTTGACCTACATACCCACATTAGGGTATGATCCATAAGTGTGAACGTGTAACCCAACAACCCCAAATTTGACATGAACAGTCTACACTAGAGTTGCAAACGAGCCGAGTCGAGTCGAGCATTGGCCTTATCGAGTCGGATTGAATTTTTTTTGCTACTCGAGCTCGAGCTCGACTCGATAACAAATTACAATAGCTCAAGCTCGGTTCGAGCTCGACTCAAAATCAGAATGCTCGAGCTCGGCTCGATAAATTTTAAGTGAAAAAGTAAAACTACATTATAATATATATATAAGGAGTATTTTAGTAACTTCACATATCTCGACCCGCTCAATGAGCCGCTCGACAATGCAAAATATGAGCTCGAGCTCGACTCGAGTTCGTGCTCGAGCCACTCGAGCTCGACTCGAGTTCGGTCAAACTCGAGCTCGAGTCGAGCTTTGACTCAAGCGCTCGCGAGTGGCTCGCGAACCGCTCTGTTCGTTTCCAGTCCTAGTCTACACCAATAGAATCAATTTTTCCTACATAAACATACTAAAAGTCTCAAGTTTGAGTGCCTTTACTCAGACAATTAATATTTATCACTCACTAGAGATTGTATAGGTGGTGTTTTGGAAGTTTGGGCGCCAACAAAATGTGTTTGTTGAAGATTAAACATGCACATTTAGAGGCAAATTAATACTTAATAATATAACTAAGTAACTAACCTAACTTACCCCGCCAAACATTAACTAAACCTCATGTAGCCTAAACTCTCCTAATCTTGATAATTCCCACAATCTCTAGGCTTAAAACGTTGCAACCAAGCTACACATGAGCCACACCACTTTTCCAAGGCAAGTGGCTTACATCGTTTACTATTTAATATTCATTGCAACTATTTCCACATATGTTACGAAGTCTCACAACTTGAAATCGTTCGAAAGAATTCAAATTGAAATGTGGAGCACAATTTGAACGTCACGATTTGATTTAGAAATAGACAAGTCAAAATTTATATGAGAATTCAAGTCAAGACAGTTGAGCACGACTTGGAAGTCATAATTTGAATTTAGAAATGGCAAGTCACAATTATGTAAATCAGATCATAATTTGAATTTAGAAATGGCAAGTCACAATTATGTAAATCAGATCATAACACGCAACTCATTTGTTAACGTAAAATGTTTTCAAAAAACTTCATGA